CCCCCCCCCCCACACACACACACATCTCTCTTTACTCCACGACTCCACGTGTGCTAGCCCGCGTGCACGTGGTGGCCGTTGGCCTTCCCGCCTCTCCACTCCACTGGCTCCACCCCGACACCACCGACACCACCGTGTCTACTATCAGTCTATTATCACTGCTCGTCCTTCTTGTTGATAAGGTCACGCATCTTGTCCCGGAGCCATGTCTAGGTGGAGGGATTATCTTTCCCTCCCCCGACGAAATCGAGTCCTAGTCTACCTGGTAATCCTTGTCCCCCAAATGATAAGCGCTGCGGCGGGCATGCGGGGAGAAAAGTTCACCCAGAAAACTATGTTCTTGATTTTTTTTCTGTGTTCTTAAATGTGAGAGAACATTTGTTATTGTTGGATGGTAGGCTCTAAGATGTTCTGGATTGATTTATATCTTAGTTGTCGAGGACTTCGGATAAAACATACGAGTTGATGTTAGCTATTTAATAGTGCGAGTCAGACTGATCTTACTATGGGGGATGTGTGAGAATATGGATAGGATGAGTGGATAAAATTCAACAGTTATGCTCGGTATAAAGCTGCGAAATATTCCTTGTAACAAGTATTTTGTCTTAAAACAAGAACATTATGTTCTTCAAAATGTGAGACCATGGAAAAGACAAGTACATAATTATTTCGTGCACCCCCTCTCCCCCACCAGCACGATTTTGCAACGGTGCAATTAAACCTCAAGGACCATCCTCTTAAGCTCGGTGTCGGGCGCCAAAATTTCCTCCTCCACCTCTTCCTAGAATCGAGGATATGGCAGAAACCAGGTACGCGCATGTGACACAATAAGCAGCCGATAAAAAGGAAGGTGCGAGCACAGTGCTACAGAGAGGGTGACCTCAGGAGCACCGGTTATCTGACTTAATGACACGAAACGTACGTTCGGACTAGGATCGCGCAATTGTTCTCTAGATTCGCACCAATATCAAAATAGGCGAGGCGCTGAGAGTATTTCTCACACTGCCGCTGTCTTAATTGCACGGTCAATCCCTGGCGCTGTAAACCTTTCACCGTAGCTGCGACACCTCTGTCCACACGGCCGCTGCGTCTAACAAGAGCTCTCTCGTTATCACGAGCTCCTTGTCCATGGCACGCGCGCACCCGCGCGTTTATCAACAGACAGACGCATATTTCGCCAGCGCTTCCGCATCGGCGGC